GTAACTGGCCAGCCCTGAATTATCGCTTCAAAATGGTTAATTTTTTGTTATGTGAATTTCACTTCTAAAAAAGAAAAGAGAAAATGCTAGCAAAAGACCTGTCTCCTGGGTTTAGGTTCTTTCTGCCCAGAATATTTTACTGTAAATAGAAAATGAGATTTGGATATGAGTACTTTGGAACACAGGCATGGAGATGTTTGGAAGATGGGTCAGGAGGGCTGGCATTCTGGATTAAACTTCTGCACTCAGGGGCTTTTTCATCGAATGTAAGCTGCAAGGGGACAGGCACCATGTCATCCTCCTATCGCTGTATCTCTGGCCTGTGGTAGGAGAGCAGAAGTGGACTTTGTCGGCTGAGTGACTCACTGATATTAAAGGCAGTTACTCTCAAGTTCAAGTCGCATGCTGAGGTGTGGCCTATGCTCGGCTCCCAGGAACCTTGTCCCTCCAGAGCTGGGGTTGGGGACTGGTAAAGTACAAGGTGGACCAGGGACCCGACGACCCATCCCTGCCTTCAGGTTTGAGCCTGGTCTGTGGTCTTGAGGAGTTCAAGTCTCTGTCCATCCTCAGCTATCAGAGGCCTTGTCATGGCAGACCTGCCACGGGACATGGGATGCAGGGGCAGTGGCCAGGCTCCTGCACCCAGAGAGGTCAACCTCTGGTTTAAAAGGACAGTCAAAAGGCAGGGGACAGATCCAGGAGAGGTAGTACAGGGAGGGATCCCAACCTTGGAGGGAGGGGCTGAACTGGGGAGAAGCAGGCAACTGCAAGACTTTGGAAGAACGTAGGAGACCAGTGTGCCCACAGCGCCTAAGGACCTCTCCTCTCTAGACCCAGGAGGGAAACCCACCCTCCTGCGTATTCCAGAGGCATTCACCCACCCACCAAGACTGGGGTCTGCTTGCAAGTGACTTTTCTATTTTGCAGATAGATCCTGGAGTTGATTTCAATGCAGAAAACATCTCTAAGATCTTCCTGTTAGGCCTCATGCTTCCTTTACTGATTCTGCAGGACAGCAAGATTAAACAAAGGTGCCTTCTGAACGGGGGGTTTGGGGCAGAGGGATGTATTAATGGTGGGGACCTACTTGCATTTTCAAGAATAGTGTGGGTAGGGGCAGTTCTTGGCAGGGAGTGGGGGGGGGTAGGGATAATCATCTATGAAATCTAAATATCATAGACTTTATAAATCACCCTTGCCCGGCTGGGCATGTCTGCCCCTTAAAGCACACTGCAACCAAAAAGCTGACCATCGAGCAAAGAATTGGAACAAACTAGAGTGGATGTTCTGAGACATTTCCTGGAAATCCTGAAGTTTCTGGCCACCGAGCGCATTTCTCAACCAGGCGCGATTCAGCCTCCAGGGGACCTTTGTGTCTGGAGACAGTTTTGGGTTGTCACAAATGGAGGTTCTCTTGACATTTAGTGGGTAGAAGCCAGAGATGCCACTAAATACCCTGCAATGCACAGGACAGCCCCTCACAACAGAGAATTATCTGGTCCCAAATGTCAACAGTGTTGAGGCTGAGAACTCTGATCTAGACAACCAGCCTTCCAGAATCAGGATTTCTTGCCCTACTCAGGGCTGCATAGATGTCAACAAATATTTTCTCATCTTTTGAAACTTCATGAAAACTCCTATTTGTTGTGGGGGGGAGGGCGGAATTCTTTTTTTCAAACAGGATTTCATGCAAAATCTTTAACTTGAAGAATATAAAGCTATATCCCACTGCGGGTTCGGATCCTATATAGGGATGACCGGTGCGCTCACAGCGCTCACTGGCTGAGCGCAGTGCGGCTGGTCTCAGAAAGGACAAAAAAAAAAATAAAAAATAAAATAAATAAATAAATAAATAAAGCTATATCTAAATGTAAAGTTACGGGCCGGCCCGTGGCTCACTCGGGAGAGTGCGGTGCTGATAACACCAAGGCCCCGGGTTCGGATCCCATATAGGGATGGCCGGTTTGCTCACTGGCTGAGCGTGGTGCTGACAACACCAAGTCAAGGGTTGAGATCCCCTTACCGGTCATCTTTAAAAAAAAAAAAAAAGATAAATGTAAAGTTACTCTCTGGGGCACCATTTTGCAGACTTCTACCGATAATTTTGTCCATGCAGCCCGCGGGGCCAAGAAGCCTCCTCCTCACAGTGCAAAGCTGATCTTAGGCACCAGAATCTTACCTCCACGTGGGGGAAGTGAGAGTCCAGGGCTGAAGTGTGATCACACTTTCTTTTGCTCCTTTCATGCAGGGAAATGATCTTGACTTACAAAAGTAGAAAGAAAAACTACCCCCTTCATTTCCATTTCAATGGCCATGAATAGAAGCTTGCTTTGCATAAGCCCACAGAGGGCAACATTTTTAAAGTACACTATGCAGTGGGACGTTCACTTTTTATTCTAACAAGACGTGTGTGTGGGGGGGGTTTCCTTTTGGCTGTTTAGTTTGTGGATCTAGCCCACCAGGAAAGCATAGTCATTCAATTTAAATTTTTTTAACTTTTAATTTAAAAGTCATGGGCTGGCCATTTAGGTCGGTTGGTTAGAGCACAGCCTTGTAACACCAAGGTCAATGGCTCTGATCCCCTTGCCAGCCAGCCTGCCGGAAAAATAAATAATAAAATAAAATTCTTCTACTAGTCAGAACATTTGAATAATGAGATGGCACACTCTAAACGTGGTGAGGCAAAGATAAGGCCACCCTCGGGATGGGAAGCCAAACCAAGCTGAGAACTGCTAAAGAAAGAAAGAAACTGTAGGGCTGGTGCCCAGGCCCCAGACCTCTCTCCAGACTTGTCTGTGATAACTGGAAGCTTGGAAATTTGAGTCCCAAACCTAGAGATTGCAATTCATTAGACCTGAGCTCGGGCCCAGGGATCTGATTTTGAACAAGCAGCCCACCTGTTGAGGACTGAATTGTGTCCTCCAAGAAGATATGTCAAACCCTAACCCCAGTATCTGTGATGGGGACCTTATTTGGAAAATAAGGTCTTTACAGGTATAATCACGTTAAAACGATTAACTTAACTCCAGTAATCCACAGTGGATTAGGGTGGGGCCTAATAAGAAGAGGAAAAGACACACACACGCACATGCACAGCACAACGCCACGTGACAGTGGAGGCCACCACCAGAAGCCAGGAGAGAGCAAGGAACAGAGGCTCCCTCCGAGCCTCCAGAGGAGCCAGCCCTGACGACACCCTGATCTCGGACTTCCAGCTTCCAGAACTGTGAGAGAACAAATATCTGTTGTTTTAAGCCACTCGGTTTGTAGGACTTTGTTAGGGCAGCCCCAGGAAACTCACACATCACCCCTCATAAGTGATTCTTATGAAACCTTAGAACCTCATGCTGGAAATACCAAAGTGGTTTTAGGAGTAATTGGGGAAAACTCATCAAGGTTCCTCTGCCTTCTCCCGAGGGAGTGAGTGCACTCTAGTTTAAATCTGTCCTTCAACCAGATATTCTGGACATTAGGGAGGGACATTGTCATTAGGTTATTATGGGTGCTATGAAAACCCCCAGGCTCCCTTCTCCACCCCCCTGATGAAGTCCCACCTCTCAACCTCACCAATCCCAGAATCCTCCCTCTGTGCCCTCTGGGACATAGGCTCAGCCAGCATCCAATTCCCCCACCCCCTCAACCTTTCGACCAACATCTCGTCTTCTACATCCCATGGAAACCACATCCCCCCCTCCCCAGGGCATTGTCTACACCTCCAGCTGTCTCAGGGGGTGCTGGGTCCCCACAGCCTCCATGGCACTGGGCTGGGACGACAGGGTTGACATCCTCTTGCTATTTCTGGACCGTTCTTCCTCCCTCCTCCCTAAACACCAGCTCGTGTCTTCAGACATATTCCACATCCTTGTCTTAGAAACGCCCATGGTTCCTTGAAGAGTCTCGCCCCTGGTTCCTGCCACGCTTCATATTACACTTGCCATGATTCTTGGGGATTTCAAAATACACCGAGATCCTCTTTCCAGTGTCCTGGAACCTCGGTTCCTAAAGTTCCCTAGTGTCGTGTCCAGCTTTCCACTCCCATCGGGGCTGCTTCAGCTGCATAACATCCCATCACACTGTTTTTGGCCAATCCCAACAGCTGCTCAGGCCAGAAACCTTGGCCCCATCTTCGGTGGCTGTCCCCATGTCCCATCCCATTGCCAGCACAGCTGTTGGCCTCTGGAATACATGGCCACCCCTTCTCCCTGCCGACCCTGTAGCACCCTAATGGCTCTCTGGCATTTGACCTTTGATCTCCATCCCAACACTGTGGCCAAATGACCCCATCAAGGGTAGAGCAGACGGTGCCCTGCTCCAAAACTGCCCCCCTGCTGCACCCCACAGGGCCCTCCCCAGTCAGCCCCACACCCATGCTGCTGACCTCTGACCTCCCCCAACATTCCCCTTCCCCTTGCTTCCTGCCCTCTGGCCACACAGGGCCCTAGTCCAGGCACATCCTGCTCTGAGAACTCCTTCATGTGCTGTGACCCTTCTCAGTGAGGGCTTCCCAAGTGCACCCTCCCCAGGAAGCGCTGCCCCTCCCCGCCACCCCCACCCCGTGCAACCTTTCCCTCTCCCCTGCCTGCTTTGCTAGAAGTTCTCACATCCTAACACACTCTAGGATGTGCTTATTTTGATTATCATCTGTCCCACCCAGCCCTACTGGAATGTAAGATACACGAGGGTTTTCCTTCTGTGCCTTGCAAGGTCCTTGGCGCCTGGAACAGTGCCTGTGACCAAGCAGGGCTCATCAAGGTATTGTTGAATGAATGAATGACTTATCAGTCTGTCTCTTAGGAGTTTAGTTAGCAGGACTCGGTTGGCAAGAATCTAAGCAGAAGTCAGGGGCTGGGACGGGGAGCAGGATGTCCCTGCCCACTACTTCCCTGAGACCCAGCTGCCTGCTCTCTTTTTGGTGGCGACACCAACGGTGTGTTTGTTTTTAAAGCAAATGAGGAAATGACAGTTCAGCTGTGCCTCATTTAGATGGGGCTTGTGTCACATTAGCCTGTACCACCTTTAAGTAGAATAGAGGGGGAGACCCCACTCGCTCTATGACCAGCTGACCCAGCAACATGGGTTAAGGGACTGGTTGGGATAAGACAGGAAGGTGACTGATCATCTTCACCTTAACAAACAGAAGAGTGCCCTGGGCTCCTGAGCCAGGGCGGTGAGGGGCCGAGGGCTTCAGCCACACCCCCTGACATCTGCACCCAGCCCAGCACAACCGAGCCACTGCTGGAAGCCCCCTGGTCTCCCCTGCAGGAATGGGGGGGTGCCCTGGGCCTCAACCACAGCCCCCTTCCTCCTTCTCCCACCCTATTTCCTTACGCCTTCCTCTATCCCCCTCCCCCCCAACTGTTCTGCAACATCTTAGAATATAAAAAAATATGTATTTTAATAAATACATAAACTTAAAAAAAAAAAAAGAAACAGAAGGGCTAGAGGTGGGGGTGGGGGAGAAAAGGCAAAGGAGAAGAGGGAGGGCTGGGCAGTGGAGTGCAGACGGAGCCACGGAGGGCAGAGGGGAGGGAGCAGGCGAGCCAGGGGCTGTTGGGGACCTTCCCCAGTGTCCCTTCCTCCCTGGCTCTGTACAGCAAGACCCTGCTGCCTCCACAAGTAAAGCAGCCTCCTGCATGCTGGACCCCTGGGGGAGTCTCCACTTCCCCCTTCCCTTACTGCCCTCTCCCTGGCCTGAGAATCCCCTGCCTCCTGGGCCCAGGTGCCTCACTGCTGGAGCTAGCGGGACTGAAGCCATCTTAGAACATAAAACCGCACGGGCTGTAGGCAAATTTTAAAAGGACACAGTTTTTTTTTCTTGGCGTGCATTTCTCTGACTTCCCTCTCTTCCCATGGTTATTTGATATTTTGAAATTTGGTTATGGGACAAGATGACATTATTTACATGAATGTAAAGTTGTTTTCCAGCCAGCCTGAAGCTGCAGACTCACACGTACTACAGGACCCTAAGATAACAGCAAAGACGAGAACAGAAACCAGATGGAGTCTTGGCGAGACCTTGCACCTGAGACCTTGCATGGAGCCCCCACAGCTCACGTCCCCCTCCCTCCTGCTTGTCACTTCCCACGTCCCATTCCCTCAGCCCCCTCTATAAAAACCCTCAGTAAGTCTGAGTCCTGGAGCTGGCTTCAGTCTGGCCATCCTCCTCCAGGTTTACTGGCGAGGTGGGTCAGCCCAACATCTCTCTCAGGTCACCGGGATTCCTGGATGAAAGCTGACTTCCATTTTCACCAACAACTGGCTTTCGATTGGTTTGCTTTTGTCTGGCAGGAGGCAGCCAGACCTGTGAACTTTTCTCTAACACCACCAGAATCCCCCAGCCCTCACTGGGGTCACACCCAGCAGGCAGAGCTGTGGGGCTCCTGGAGGGGCTTCCGCTCCAGATCAGGGACCCCCCCCCCCNTGCAGACTCACACGTACTACACGACCCTAAGATAACAGCAAAGACGAGAACAGAAACCAGATGGAGTCTTGGCGAGACCTTGCACCTGAGACCTTGCATGGAGCCTCCACAGCTCACGTCCCCCTCCCTCCTGCTTGTCACTTCCCACGTCCCATTCCCTCAGCCCCCTCTATAAAAACCCTCAGTAAGTCTGAGTCCTGGAGCTGGCTTCAGTCTGGCCATCCTCCTCCAGGTTTACTGGCGAGGTGGGTCAGCCCAACATCTCTCTCAGGTCACCGGGATTCCTGGATGAAAGCTGACTTCCATTTTCACCAACAACTGGCTTTCGATTGGTTTGCTTTTGTCTGGCAGGAGGCAGCCAGACCTGTGAACTTTTCTCTAACACCACCAGAATCCCCCAGCCCTCACTGGGGTCACACCCAGCAGGCAGAGCTGTGGGGCTCCTGGAGGGGCTTCCGCTCCAGATCAGGGACCCCCCCCCCAATAGCCCAACTGGGAGCCAAGCACTTTTCTTGCCCCATGTCCCCTGGAGGTCCCTACCCTGCCTACTCAGCCCACTCCACTCCCCCCAGGGCTCTGCAGGGGGTGGGCAGGTTGTCCAGCTGACCCCCAGCACACACCTCCTTATCATCAGCAACCTCCTCCCAACCAAGCCACCCACTGTGGGTGGCGACTCTGACGCCAGGGTCCCCAGCTGAGGGCACTTCTCCCTCCAGCCTGCTGGGCTACTCACCTCCCTCCTGCTCCCTGGAGAAGCTGCTGGTGGCTGTAAGAGAGGGGAGGGTGGTGAGGAGAGAGCCTGGGGTGCAGGAGGTGCGGGGTGGGGCAGGGGTTGGAGACAGACCACAGAACCCTTGCTGAGGCCAGAAGGGAGGTGGTCCCATGACTCAACAAGCATAGCCCCTCACAAAAGCTCTTTTGAGGCCCAAAACATTTATTGTCACGAGCCCATTTTGCAGAGGAGTAAGTAGAGGGCCCAAGGTGAAGCAAAACTGGCCACATACGCAGTAAAAGAGAGGCTGGTCTGAGACTCCAATCTTCCTTCTCCACCCCGTGCTTCCAGAGGTGGCCGTGCTTTCAGACCCCACCTCTCCTGGGCTCCTTAGCACCCCCATACCCTGAGCCCACCTCTTCAAGGCCCTGGCAGCAGCCCCCTCCCACGACATCCCCAGTGGACTCACCCAGAACGGCCAAGCAGAGCAACCGAAGGAGCCTCATGCCTCCGTGGCTGTGGGGCCTCTGCTCAGGCTCCTGAGAGCTTCCTAGGTCTTGGCCACCTCCACCCTGGGGCCCCCAGGATGCTCCTTGGGTGGCCGCCTGCTGCGAGAAGATAACCTGAAGGCCTCCGCCACCCAGAGAGCCTGGCAGGCCCAGAACAGCAAACTCCCCCACAGTCCTCCAAACTAGGAGGAGCTGGGCCTTGAAGCCAAACCAGGGCTTTGACTCAGCTGTGCTGCAGAGCTCTGGGCCCCTGGGTTCATGTGGTGGACAGATGTCCACATTGCTAGCCCCCGGCACCTGCAAACATGTCGTGTTACATGGCGAGGGGGGATGAAGGCTGCTAGTCTGCTGGTTTTGAGATGGGGGGATCATCCTGCATTATGCGGGTGGGCCTGGTGTAACCATAGGGGTCTCGACAAAGCAGCCAAGGAGAACTGGTGGGCTGGAGCCCTGCTAGGGAAGCGGGGGGCAGAGGTGACTTCTGTCCATCTCATGTTGGGTCACATACGAGCACCGACTGGGCACCTGCTAGGTGGCCGATGCTGCCCCCAACCCCCAAATTAACCCTCAGACTGCACAAGGCCCCTGGTCATTGCGGGAGTGTGATGCCACTAGGGGTTAAATGTGTTTCCCAAAAGGTCAGGTATTGCACACTTGACCTGCATCGTAAGGTGCTAAGAGGGTGGGAAATCCAATTATGGTTTTTGAAAAGTGGGGCCTTTGAGAGATGATCGCACGGTGAGGACTGTGCCCTCGTGAATGGATTGACCCATTCGTGGAGTGATGAGTTGTCACGGGTGTGGTTCTCATGCTCCATGAGGACCGCGAGTGAGGTCGGTTGGCTCTTGCTGTTCTCGCTGTGTGACAGCTCATGTTGCTGTAGACAGTCTCCCCGGCAAGAAGATCCACACCACATGTGCCCCCTGGACCTTGGACTTCCCAGACTCCAAAACTGTGAGAAGTAAATTTTGTTTCTCTACACATTACCCAGTTTCAGGGGTCTGTCATAAGCGACGGAAATGGACTAACGCAGACGCGGCGTGCCCGAGCACCACCGCTCACTCAGGGGGCAGGGCCCCTCCCCACCTCCCATCTGGGTAGGAGGTCACGTGGATGGTCATTTCCCAGGGATCTGGACACAATGCTAGACCAAAAGGAGACCAAGCCACATCACAGACAGTGACATGGCCTCAACAGCGACCTGCAGTAGCTGGCTGGATCTGGAGAGACGAGTGGGAGTGAGTGGAGCCTCCTAGAGCCCTAAGGCAACCAGGGCTGGACCCCTCAGGGCAGCCGGTGAGGTGAGGACCGGGACTCTGCCAACCCTGCAGTGGGCCACTGGCACCTGCCTGCCTGCACAGCCTGGCTCCTCACCCAAGCCCAGGCCTGGGGCTGCTGGGCCAGCCAGTCCCTCTCTGCCTAGGTTCAGTTACCTGGTGCAGGAAATGCCCACGCTGGCTGCCTTCTCCAGGGGTGGTGTCCCACCCCTGCCCCCACCCCCACCCTCACCTCCAGGTAACCATTTGCCTGCAATGGGAGCTGCTCTCTTCCTACAGAGCCTGCCTGGGCAACCCCAGCCCCTGCCCTGGGCACTGGTGATTAGTCCGGGAATGGACACCTGATCCACAGAAGGCCAATTACAGCCCTGCCCCTTGGGTTCCCCTCTAGGCCATTCTCAGGGGGACCCACTGAGGCCTGTGAGGTCCGGGTGCCCTGGGAAGCTGATCTAAGGGGTGGCTCTCTGGCTGGGGAGCAGTAGGAAGGACAAAGGGAGAGATGAAGTACGTGTCCTGCAGGTGACTGGAGACCAGCTTTGTCAGTCCCCTCAGTGGCCCTTCTCCATAGCTGGCTCGAGCCAGGTTCTGACACTTGCCACTTGTGGTCCTGACTCATACCCCTGGGGTCAGAGCCTGTGCCCTGTACACCCACCTACTGTTGAAGTGAGCAGGATTGAAGCCATATTGGGACTTAAAACCACCTGGGCTGCAGAAAACGTTAAAAGACACTGCTTTTTTCTTGGCATGCATTTCTGAGTTCCCTCTTTCCCCATGGCTATTCGATACTTTGAAACTTGGTTATGGGGCGAGATGACATTATTTACATGAATGTAAAGTTGTTTTCCAGTCAGCCTGGAGCTGCGAACTTGCAACAAGACACATGCTATCCAGACCCTGGGAAACCAAGGAAGACTTCAGTAAAGCTGTGCTGACTCCATCCCTCCTGCAAGACCCTGAGATAACAGCAGGGACGGGAGCAGAAACCAGACGGAGCTGTGGCGAGACCTTGCACCTGGCTCCTTGCACGGAGCCCCCACAGCTCACATCCCCCTCCCTCTTTCTTGTCACTTCCCACGTCCCATTCCCTCAGACCCCTTTTTTTTTTTTTCCTTTTTGTCTTTTTTCGTGACCGGCAACAGATCGCAACCCTCAGTGTCGCGCCCGTACCGGACCAGGACCGGCAACGGAATCGCAACCTTCAGTGTTGCCCCCGCTCCTTGCTCAGCCAGTGAGCCGCCGGTCTGCACATGGGATCCGAACCCTCGGCGGGAGCGCCGCCGCGCTTCCCAAGCGGCGCACTGTAGCAGTGCGCCACCAGGCCGACCCCCTCAGACCCCTTTTAAAAACCCCTCAGTAAGTCTGAGTGTTTGAGATGGCTTTAGTCTGGCCATTGTCCTTTGGGCTTACCGGAGAGATGGGTCAGCCCAACATCTCTCTCAGGTCACTGGGATTCCTGAATAAAAGCTGACTCCCGTTTTCACCAATGTTTGACTTCTGGCTGGTTTGGTTTTGTTTGGGGCAGGCAGCTGGACCTGGGCCCGGCAACACTACCTCTCTGCTTCTAGTGTCTCCCATTGGGGAGCAAGAGCATTTTCTCTTTGTTTCCTAGCAAAATGCCCTTCCAGAAAGCCCGTTCAAACTTCAGCTGAAAGAAGCTAGGAGAAGGAATGGAGGATTGAAGGGAGACAGGCAGGGGCTGCTGGGGAGGCTGGTGGCTGCCAAGGTCTCAGGCTGCTGGCAATCTGTTGCCTGAAGGCCCAGAAACTCAAAGGACTCCAGGAACAATCTCCCCAGGCCCTGGTGGGACCTGAGCATCTTTCCTGCCCCACCCCTGTGTGCCCATCTGATTGGGGGCGTTGATCTGGAGGGGCTGGCTCTCGGCACTGCCTGCCCCTTCTCTCCAGACTGCAGCGTAGCGCAGGCCTGATGAAGACATGCACCACGCCTCCTGAGTGGAGTTTGGGGTTGCCCCAAAGCTCTCCAGTCACCTGCCACAGACTGATGTTTTGTGATTGTTTTTTTTTTTTTTTAAAAAGATGACCGGTAAGGGGATCTCAACCCCTGGCTTGGTGTTGTCAGCACCACGCTCAGCCAGTGAGCAAACCGGCCATCCCTATATAGGATCCGAACCCATGGCCTTGGTGTTATCAGCACCGCACTCTACCGAGTGAGCCACGGGCCGGCCTATGTTTTGTGATTTTTGACCACAGAAGGCCAATGTCCTGTATAACAAATGGCCTTACCGGTGTCTCCTTGTCTCCCTCATGTCGCATTCCTGGAAGGGTCCAACTGGGTGGGGGTCTGCGCTGGGCTAGCCTGGCCAGTGTAACTGGGGAGGCCACAGGGAGACATAGAGGCTTCTCAGGGCTGGGCCAGTACACCCAAGGTTGGGGGTGGGGGGACCTCTGCCCTTCTCCTGTGGCAGGCGCTTACACCAGGAAGGACATACTTAACCCACTGCAGCAGCACCCCCAGGGCCTCTCCTCGCCCCGGTGTGGCTTCTTGGCTCATCATTTCATGGGCCCCACCCAGCTCCCTGTCATCTACAGGGAGTCATCCAAGCCCTGTGGCACACACTGCAGGTGTGCCGGTTCTGTCTTCACCCTGACTGTCCCTGGTTGCCCCACAGCCGTGTCTAGAGGCCTCCGGTTTCCAGTTTCCCCAGCCTGTCCCACAGGACATCTCTGTCCTCTCCTCTGCCCTCATCTCCTGTCCTAATCCTCCCTTTCTCCAAGGCCGTGCTGTCACCTCCTCCATGAGCCCTCTTGTCCCTGAGGCCCCCTGGGTGGTCTTGATCACAGGGGGTCTCAGGTCCACGCCCCTCTCTTCCATTCGGCTCCTTCAGGCCAGTGGCCACTCTGCAATAGGAGCCTGGACTGCACTTCTAGGTACCATGGGGACACTTTACAGGTAAGTGCTTGTTTAATCCTCACAGACACTAAGAGGGACACGGCATCTTCCCTTTGCTGTCCCGGATGAACAAACTGAGGCCCAAAGTCTAGTGCTTTCCTTGGGGTCTCAAAGTGTGTCTTCTTCACAGATCCTAGAGTGCCCCGCAGTGCACATGGCCAGCTCTCAGTAAATGACTGCCGAAGGGATGGGAAACGCTTCAGTGCACTCTCATGGCCATCAGCGTCACCCCGGGGCTCATTCAACCAGAACTGCTGGGCTCCACCCTTAGAGTTTCTGATTCTGGAGTTTGGGTTGAGGCCTGAGAAGGTGCACGTCTAACCAGTTCACAGGTGATGCTCATGCTGCTGGTCTCAGGGCCACACTTTGGCTCCAGGCTGCTAATTTACAACGTGTCACTTTCATCTGGGTCAGGCTGTCACCCTCCTCAGACTGAACACAGAGCTCCGGCTGTTTTCCTCATAGCCTCACTGCCAGCCCAGAACATGACCCAGCATTTAGCAACACTTCATCAGTGTTTGTTGCTGGACTGATGATGGGTCATGTGATGCTGGGTGAGTGAGATAAGGACAGAGATAGGACGGGCTGAACTGGCCAAGTCTTTAATTATCACAGGATAAAGCCCCCAGCCCCAAGCTTGTCAGCTGAGATCTGCCTGGATGCTGAGTCCAGCCCAGAAATCAGGCTAGGAGCTACTCCCCTGATGGAGCTGGAGGCTCTTCAAACATGTCTTGGGGTTTCTTTATTAAAAATTTTGGTGGCTGGCCAGTACTGGGATCCGAACCCTTGACATTGGTGTTACCAAAACTGTGCTCTAAGCAAGTGAGCTAACCACCCAGGCCACGTCCTGGGACTTCTCTGACATTCCCCGCTAACAGTTCTCAACTCCAGCAGCCTGTGAGAGTCCCTGGGAGCTTGAAAAAGTCCCGATGCCCTGGCTGCTGGCTGCACCAATCACATCAGAGATCACATCAGAGTCGCTGGGATGGGGCCAGCCTCTGACAACTTGTCAGATGTTCTCCAGGCTGAGAACCGCAAATTTAGAGCCACTGTAGCCAGGGAAGTGAGGTGGCAGGAAGCTTGGAAAAGGAATCTTGAATAGGCTCAGGAATCTCAGACACAGCCCAGGGTGACACCCCAGCCCTCTCTTTGTGGGACAGCTGCGCTACTTTTCTGGGCCACCTCTTGCAGCCCTCATTCCGTGTGTCTCTCACAATGCGAGCCCTTAGACACCACTAAGGCCCTGGTGGGGCACTTCCACCCACAAATCCTCAAGGTCAGCTCTACCAGGGGGACACAGACCGAGTTGTGAGGACAGAGTTCTGCAGAAGTCATGGCCATAGGCTCTGTTGTGGTTTCCTGAGGCAGCTTTTTTTTTTTTCCTTTTTGTCTTTTTTCGTGACCGGCAACGGATCGCAACCC